CCACTCGATCGACCAAGCATGGACGTAGTCACACAGCGACATAAAAGCCTTCCACAGCTTCCTGTGTAGCGACCAGTGCCGTGCCAAGCGACCGCGTCTGTAAGCTGGATCTCGTGCATGCAGATGCTGGTACAGACAACCACCGGTGCACGGAGTACTAGCCCACAAGTAAACGAAACCCCCCCTGCGGATGTGGAGAGTGCAGATCTGTTGAAGCTGCGCTGTAGTGGCCGGGTCTCCGCCGTCATCTTCCTCACTGACAGTCAACACACCAACCCAAGAGCACGCTCGCGACGCAACCAACATGCTCGACATGGGAGGCGCACAGAACTCAACGACCAACCACTTGGCAAACTCCATCAAACGATACCGATCTGCAAGAGATACATGATCTTTGCCAGCCACAGCAGCACCAAGCAAGCCAACGAAACACGCCAACTCACCAACGCAAGCTGCAACAGTGACTTCAGACAAACCAAGGCTCAACATGTGCTTCAAAGTAGTCCGGGCATCTAACGATTTTGTGAAGAGGTCTGCGACGTTGGAGGCTCCTCGCACTCCGAAGATGAAGAGAAGTCGCTGTCGGAGCTGATCTTGTATAAAGCTTTTTGCTTTGCAGCGCAATGCCATGTCTGGCACCTAGCGAGTCCGAAGCAGACACTGTGGTCCGGCTGCATGAGAGCAGCGAGCTAAGCTCCTAACTACAAAAGACTTGTGGCCCCGGCACGAATGCCCAAGCAAGCCAACCACGGAAAACGAGTGAAAAGAAAGGAGTCCGACACCCATAGCACTGCACTTTCGCTCGTCAGCGCGCGACAGTGACATGCGACATGTAAACGGCAAGAGGAAAGGCGTCCCTTTCCAAAAGCCACATGTGCATGCAGGGCCGTAACTCAGCTAGACGCATCTGTGAAGCAGGCCTTGGAATATATCAGGATGTACACATTGAGTGAAAGCTGTACAGCATCCTTCTGAAGAAGAGGTTTTGCAGTGGCATGATCGTCAGTGTAATATCGTCTGTCTTCACTCATAAGAACAGCTCTGTAGTGCCCGGAAGTGGGGTGTGGACCAAGATGAACAATGCAGGCATGAAGTCTGTACAGCTGTCTGGTGGTCACGAGGTCAACGTTGAACACCGGGACGCTTAACGTGCTGGTGATATCGACAGGGCAACTACTTTTCTGCAATGACTCTTCTTCAATGCCAAAACGATTGAGTTGCACAATCAGGTGCGATGGCGCTGTCAGCAATCCCGCAAATCCGGCCTGAGCATGCCATTGGTCCAACAGGGCTTGAGGTGTGCAGTGAGCTGAGAGGGGAACCGATAGAAGAAGTGGCATTGTGCTGCCAGCCTCCTCAATGCTGATACGTCCCTCAGCAAGAACTCTTCGCTGCCAGTGGCCCTCGTAGTATTCTGCAAACCCTTTGTCCTGGAGGAACGCAATGAGCTCGGCAGCATCATGCTGCCTGTTGGGTTCGCTCCATTGTCGCATGAGGTTGCGCCACAACAAAAGCTGCCATATATTCAAAGGCTTGCGTTCTTTGAGGGCCGAACTTAGTGTCCTCATCAGTCCTGTGGGCAGTGAGGGTTGACCCGAACGGCATGCAGTCCAAAGAAGGGCAAGTATGATTGCATTGGTATAGCATGTGTTACCACTGTTGACAAGCTTTGCACGGAGAATGTGTTGCTGATCCATGCCATGCAAAGGCGACAAGTGTGGAGGTGCGGCGGTATTGCTGGTGGGTGAGGCGTGAATCCGGCCTGCATCTGGGTGGTCGATGGTCGACTGCCCTCCTCCAGTGGGGCCAGATCCCCTGTCTGAAGGTACTTGGAGAGCTGCTTCTCGAGGTTGGATCGACTGAGACGTTCCTGGCGATGTGTCATGCCCACCACCTGAGTGCACGCGTTCCCCGCTAGCCGCAGGAGGTTGGAGTGAAGCTCGTTTGCCTGCTCCGACCGAAGGGCAATCGACAGCATGAACGTGACGGTGGGACTCTTGAGCTCCGGTGCCAACGGGCGAGTCGGATGGAACCTGGTGATGACCTGGGGATCCTGGGACATTCGCAGGAGGTCTTTCACCTGCTGATGGGCATCCTCGAGGGAGATGGGGCTCCGGGCAGTGTCCGTCAGCAGCTTGTTCTCCTCGAAGGACCACTTCAGGTAGAGCCACTGCCCGTCCTTGATGAAGCCCATTTTCGTTAAGTGAGTCTTGGTCTCCTCCGTGAGCTTGGCCGGGTCTGTCCTGGCTTCGAGCTCTGTGAGGAGGCACAGCCACAGGATGTGTCGAAGCGGGGCCTTCACCTCTCCTGCCTCCCGAAGCTCCTTCCACTTCTGGGCAGCCGTGAACATCGCTTCTGGGACTCCTGCTGGAAGTCCAGTCCGAAGCCACAGGACCAGTGAGGTGTCGAGCGCCAAGATCCTCAGTGCGTCTCCCTGGCGAAGCACAAGGCGGATCAGCATCTGACAAAGAAGGAACAGGTTTTGATCGCTGAGGCCCTGCTGCTTTTCCGAAGAGCGCCTGGAACGAAAGGCTGGCTGCTGAGGGCCCCGACTGGATCCCTTGCCTTTGCCGCGGCGTCCGCTCCCCCCCTTTTGCACTATCTCCTTGGTGCGCTGCTGCTTCGAAGCTCTTTCCGGGGCATCCTCCTGCTCCTTCTCCGCTTGCTGGCTGGGCATGAATCTCTTGAAGAGGTTCAGCTCTTCCCCATCTGGAATCTCGGTAGCGTTTGCTGACATAATCGAGACCTGAGGGTGTCAGGCCAGATTGCAGCATGGCATACATAGATTGCCACAGCACATAGCAGCCAGTTGCATGTGTGCCCTCAAAGGTGGACTTAGGTATGTGCTGACCACAGTACACGCAGGGCTTTCGCGTTCGAACACAGGAGGCAAGCACTTCAGAATGCTCGAGCCGATCAAGACAGTCCTGATGCTTGGCACGCATATGTACCTTGATGCGCGACGGATTTGCTGCATACAGCCCGCATTCAGGACAAAAGTTTTTCATCCTAGCATGAAGTTGGCCTGCTCCGACTACCCGTTTCCATTCTTGGCCTGTGGTGACAGCAAGTGCAGTGTAGGAGCTTTCCTGTGAAATCGTCTGCACAAAAGTGGATACAGGGGAATGGCCACCCAACTCGGAGGTGTTAGCATCCGTGTTCGGCGCCGGCTCAATCGATGCAGTCGGAGGCACAGCGGTGTCAATGTTGGCCTGTGTGGCTGTGGCTGCGGTCAGGACAGGGCAGTTACCAAGCAGGATATGAGAGTTGAAGTTGCGCCAACCATTAAACTCATGCAGGCAATGCTTGCATGTGGGCACTCCATGCAGCGCATGCTCGACTTGATTCTGCATTTGTGCCTGTTTCCGCTTTTCAAGGATCTTGGCTTGGCCATGGCTTTTGACCCTATGTACTTGCAGCAGTCCTGCAGTGGCGAAGCACGAGGGGCAATCTGGGCATTGGTATGTGCGGGAGATCACAGCATCGACAGGTGTAAGTTGTGCACGGTCCTGGGTGGAGCTCAACCCTGTGGCATAGGTGGATGAAAGAAGGGCATGCCACTGTGTGACGCGGGTGATATGCAGATCGGCCTGGGCCTCGTACCGCCGGCAGTTGGTCCCAACCTCGGCCGAAAGGATGCACAGCGGCTGAAATTTCCATTTTTCAAGAAAATCTCTAGTGGTTTCATGTGTGTGATGGGCCAGCTGCCCAGTGATCGCTCGAAGTTGTCTGGCAACGTATCCAACCACCTGGATCTGTTCATGGACAGACAGAAGGAGAGACGTGAGTCCATATTTCAGAGTGGGCCAAATGATGGCCTTCCAGAGTTGCACCCTCTTCATCGTCGATAAGACATTCTTGGTGCATAGGATATGTCGCAGCCTGGAAAAAGCCGTGGAGGCACAGTGGATGCGATGTTCCAGGGTATGGGCTTCAAAGCTGCCATAAGAGATTATAACCCCTAGGTACTTATGTTGGCGGACGATTGGGAAGTCAAGGTCCGGGCTGACGCGCCTGTTTTGCGGGCTAGCGTTGTAGAGTGAAGTTTCAGGGGCACAAATCTGAAAATCAAATCTATCCATCTGAATAAATAGGACATCCAAGAATAAGTGATCTCAAGAGACCCCTTTCTTAAAATTCCAAATCCGAGGAATCCCCCGGGAAGAGAACCTCACCCCGGCTCCCAACGCAAGACCCCAGAGAAATCAAATCCCCAGAAACCTCCAGAAACCTCCCACACCCCGAGGTGGCGAATCTCTATTGATCTCTCTTTTTCAACAAGTGGCGGATTTGTCTCAACCGGCGGGCTCGGTCATCGAACGCACGCTGTGTGCGCCAATGCCCCCCCGTGAGACGAAGCGACGACCCAATGAATTACAGGGTGGGATGGGCGGGTAACTAAAAATTTGGGCCGTCCGACTCAACACAACAAAGCTGAAAACTGAAATCTCATGGAGCAGTCAACATGAAGCGCATGAAAAGGGACAGATTCATGCCAAGCACAAATACTGACAAAATGGAGAAAACCATTTTTCCCCTTTCAAAACTAAGCGTGGCGCTCAGTGAACCCATCCGATGTTCCCCCCCTAGCTCCCACCCGACACGCTACCCCTCCAAACAGTTCTATCGGGCGGGCCCAATAGTGCCTGTTTTGCGGGCTAGCGTTGTAGAGTGAAGTTTCAGGGGCACAAATCTGAAACTCAAATCTATCCATCTGAATAAATAGGACATCCAAGAATAAGTGATCTCAAGAGACCCCTTTCTTAAAATTCCAAATCCGAGGAATCCCCCGGGAAGAGAACCTCACCCCGGCTCCCAACGCAAGACCCCAGAGAAATCAAATCCCCAGAAACCTCCAGAAACCTCCCACACCCCGAGGTGGCGAATCTCTATTGATCTCTCTTTTTCAACAAGTGGCGGATTTGTCTCAACCGGCGGGCTCGGTCATCGAACGCACGCTGTGTGCGCCAATGCCCCCCTATCCACCCTTGCGGTGGACGTCACCACGGCGTGCGCTCGTGTGGCCGTTTCTTCGACAGTGACTGAACCGCAACTTGCTGACTTGCGGAATGTCTGAGAGCATCAAACTGCGACTTCGTCTCCCAAAGCTTGCTGAGCAACTCAAGAGGAAGGTCACTGAATGAGCTGAAGCACCTGAATTCGGGATTGAAGGAGCTGAATCTGGAGTTGGTGAGGTCATCCGCAAGTTGATTTTCACCCCGCGGACGCCAGTTAAGAGCTAGCCTGATTTTAGATAGAGCGAGCAAATGTGACAGCTGCATGTTTATGAGCATGAGCGGCCACTTCGTTGTGCTTTGCTTCTTGGACAAAGACTCGTTGCCCTTGTTGTCAGTGATAGCACTAAAAACGACTGGGAGCTGCCGTACCCTGGTGGATTCTCCCAAATGTCCGAACAAGTATAACGCAGCTAAAGTTGCCAAGAGCTCCGCAGATGCCGATGCCCACTGTGACTTCTGCTCCTCGTCGAACAAGTAAGGTGCCTCGTGCGGTCGCACCTTAATCGAGAACCACCGTGACCTGCCCAAGGGACATGTTGCATCCCAGCCCCCAAGCACAACCAGGCCATCTTCACATTTTGCATCGGTGAAGAAAAGAGGCTTGTCGCTTAGGTCCACCCTGGAAGGGGACACTTTGTAGTCTTTGGTTACGAGAGCTTCCTCGATGTAGAGAAGAGTCAAGATCACCGTGTCAGGAAGCTTCCCGACCGAGCATCGATGTGTGGCCGATGACCAGGCATAAAGGGGTGCCAAGTGCGGTTTCAACCAGTAAACCACCCTCGAAACGAACCCCAATCTACCTAAGAACTCGGCGAACTTCTTAGTCTGAACCACGTATTTCGACTCCCTGGCACTTTTAATCCACTGGACCAGCCAATCTCCTCGCACTTTGCTGAGCCCCACCAGTCGGGCCGCGTAGTCCAGCTCATAGCCAATGAAGGCGATCCTGGCTCCGCCTTTAAACTTTTTCCAGGCAAAAGGTGTTCCTGCCATAAGATAAAGTACCAGCCAGATCAGAGCGTTGACATACTTCCGGTGTCCAAAGAAATTGGCGTGTAAGTCGTCTACGAAAACCAGTTGAAAGAAGAAGTGGTTGAGCATGGCCCGCCCAACCATCCTACCTATAATGCCGAAAAGCCGGGCCCACCAGAATGATGCAGATGAGATCCCAAACGTTCCAACTCGGTTCACGAATACGGTGTCGCTCCCAGCCTCTGCACGGCATGCCAGGAGTCCCCAGTCTCTTTCGCGCACCAGCACCAAGCGGTGGGCGGCGGCCACGTCCCCCGCCAAAGCAAAGGGTGTCTCAAATTGCTCCTGAGATTGTCTGACCAGGAGGGCTAGCTCTCCAGGGCCCGGAACTGAAAGAAGGTTGCGCTGAGGTATGGCCTGATTTACGTGTACTCCGTGGGTACCGTCATGCACCGGCCTCACGGATCCATCAAGGTTTCTGGATTGCACCCATGGAGGCTATGCGTAGATTCTCCTCGCCATAGCGCTGCTTCAACGCCCCATGCGTCGAAGCTTCCATCCGACCGAGCTCCACCTCCTCCCGGAACTTCTCTAGCAGCTGCTGCGAGTTCAGGGAAGCACTGGCGTAGTTGGAGCGGTCCCATTCCGGGAGATCCTCATCGAACTTCCTCCACTTAGCCTTGGGCTCGAAGACTTGGGGCAACCTGGGCAGCTCCTCGCCAAAACCTATGGGTACCCCAGTGCAGAAGTTGTCAGTGCCCTCGGTTATGGAGGCCCAGTCGGGGTCGCCCATCACCTCTGCAGTCCGGGCCACCGCTTTCAAGAGAAAGGGCTGTCCTTTGGGAATCTCCATACAATGCTTCCAGTCATCTCCACCGACTCGCCGGCACCACTTTTCTCGCAGCTGCTGCATCTCCTCTTCACAGAAAGGTGTCTCCGTGACTTCTCCAGCGGCCAGTTTTTCGCAAAGCTCTTTTGGAGAGCTGACATTTCGCCCCACGAACTCCATGCACATCTGGTACATATCTCGGCAGAGCGCCATGCTTGACGGTGAAAGAGTGGCCCCCCTATCCGCCGGTCGCCAGCGTGTAGGTGAGCACAAACCGAAACCGTCATTGAGTGGCTCCTGCTTGCCCTCCCACTCTGCTTGTAGTGGAAGTCCACGGTTTCCGCATAGCTCAGGCTTGAAGGCTGGTTCAGCTCCCGGTGGCGCGCTCCCATGGGGCGCCCCAAACTCTAGTCCAATGGCCTCCGAAGTCTCAGCTTCCTGCGCAGGCAACTGAAAGCCTTGCCGCTCCAAAACCTGCTTCTCACCGTCTTTCAGGGTGTCCAAGTGGTCAGTGACGTAAGCCACCACCACCAGGCGCTCGCCCTCCCACGCGCGGGTGAAGTGGAAAGCTTTGTAGGCATCGAAGACGACGGGCCCTTTTGCCACCTCCAGGTCTTTGCCAGCCTTGAGACCATCAGGGGTCATCTCTGGCACCGATCCATGACAGTCCTCTACCCAGATCTGGCCTCCCTTGAAAGAGGTGATAGGTGCCACCATGTTCGGAAATGGAGCATTGCGTGAATCTCTGTGCATGGGCGTGCGTATCCCATGGAAAAGAGACACAGCAGAGAAGCTAAGCTTTGGGCTGATCTGACGAACATACCGGGTAAGGACCTGTGATGTGCATGCGTATGCCCCCACCGTGAATGAAGAGGCCGACTCCACTTCCTCCCCCACACGCACAGCACGCTCCTTGGGGAGAAGCTGATGTAGTGCTTGCAGCTCGTCTTTCGTCATCAGGCCCTCCTTTGCCAACAAACGAGCGGCGAAAGCCTCGGCGTCTTCGCTCGGAAGTGGCGTGGTAGTCCCGGAAGACATGGACACTTGCCCAGCAGGTGGGGTCGGGGAACTTCCTATCGAGGACCCAGAAGAAGCCCTGAACCTTGAGGCAGAAGGGGCCACGGCGTCCCTGGCCTGAGCTGTTGCTGCACGGGACGCAAGGGACCTGGACCCAGAGGCGGTACTAAACCCTAAGTCTAAAGGGGTTAGAGTGTCCCTGCCCTGAGCTGTTGCTTCAGGGGGTGCAGGGGACGTGCACTTAGGGGAAGGTGTTAGAGCGTCCCTGCCCTGAGCTGTTGCTTCAGGGGGTGCAGAGGACGTGTACTTAGGGGAAGGTGTGATGAGCCCAGCTGTAGCCAGCGAGGTGTGAACCCCGTCAGAGCCTGAGCTCTGCGAGCTGGCGATTGCCTGAGCCAGGAACTGACAAAGTTTCGGAGGGTAAGCTGCGGCGGCTGCGGTTCGCCACTGGTGGCTGACGGGATCCTTACCCACCAAGGAATCATGACGGCCATGTGGGCAGGACTTCGGTAAGGGACCGAAGTAGCGATGATGTGGATCCAGACAGGGCAGTGTAGCATGAGGTGGTGGATCACGCTGAAAGCGTGCGAGATTGCTCAAGAAACGAGTTGGCTTGCTTGTCTGAGCTCCAAACATGCACTGAAAAATTGCAAAGGTGACTGCTTTGAAACGCACTAACAGATCCAGAATCTCGGGCCAAGACCATATGGAGGAAGGAACGACGCCATCGGCGGCAACCCCCAGATGTTCGGGGTGTTCCCACAGGAAAGCATTGCCCGCCTCCGCTGCTAATTGTGAAGCTGTAAGACTCTGATCTATCATGTAGTTAGCTGCCTGTACTTCTGCAGCAAGCGCTGATGACAGCCAAGGAAAACCGCGAGGCCAAACATGGCTCCTTAGGGGCTTAGGGCCAGGGGTCTTATGACGGGCACGCGAAAAGGTATTGCAAGGTGGACTGGTGATGAAGACAGTATTGGGCCGCTGCACCAAACGGAAAATGTCCTGCCACACAGCATCTTGGGTGAGGTCCTGGCGGGGATCTCGCAAAATGTCAAACTCCATCACGTGGACATCTGGGATCAGTTTCTTCAAACACGCACCGATGTCACATCTGCGCTCGGGCCCCGCGAAAGCGTACACTACGGTCAGCGGTACAGGGCGACCCGCTGATTCTGAAGTCTCGCCCTCCGGGCCCCCAACCCTTCAACCCCCTCTTTGCGACTGCATCACGGCGTCATGCTGATGCGCTGCATGATCTCCGAAGCAGCCGGCCACACGGCACACGTGAACTCGTGCGCAGGACTTATTCTTGCATCCTTGAGCGTTGAAGGCGTAACAGATCTGCTTGCCATCGGGTGTAGTGGAAACAAGCTCTAGACCACCCAGCTTGGACTGATTCTTGGCGCCGCCTTTAGGTGTCTTTGCCGCCTTTACCAGGGCCTTTGGGCACTAAAGGAGGAGGCGGTGCCTTTCCATCACCCTTGCGGTACTTGCGGGGCTGCTCTGCGACGTGTAGGGCCAAAGGCGTGGTGAACCAGGTCTCTTTCAAAGATGGATCCGCCACCACCTGCTCGAGAGCCTCAGCAAGGGTAATGGCATCGTCCACCACTAATTTCATTGCCTCCGTGCGTAGCTTCTGCTCATACGCCAGAACGACACTCCAAGGGGGCCTCCCTGGGAGGGCATCCTTTCCCTGGTGCGACGGTAACCGCAAGCCAGAGACCTTGTCGCCCATGATGTACTCGACGAACTTGGTGAAAGTTTCGAGCTTCAGCCCCTGTAGCCATGATTTGGCCTTGAAGCGGGCTGACATACAGAGCCAAGCGTAAGCTTCGACCTTCATGACCCTACGGTAGGCCTCAGAATTGTGTGGCATCTCCAGCTTCTGTATCGTCTTGGTGACACGAAGATGACCGCTGGAATCCACAGTGGACTGCAGCGACTCCACCTGTTTGTCTTTCTTGGAGCTGATCTGATCTAGCGAGGAAGCAGTCGGCTCGTTTTCCTCGCACTCCTCGGCCTTGGATGCTAGATACTCTGCACTGGGCGTCTCCGCCTCATTCAGCTTGCCATACACGGTGGTGACTGCACGAAGCATAGCCTGTCGCTCCTGAACTTGGAGAACCTTCTTATGGCCCATGACCTTTGCTTCCGCCTTCAGCTCAACCTCCTTAGCCGAAAACTCCTTGGCCAACTCCCAAGCAGCAACCACCGATGCGATCTGAGCACGGCCTTCAGCGGAATTGTGGTCAAGGTTGAAGTCACGAGCAGCAGTGCGAGCTTCCGCCCTCGTATCAGCAATCGCCTGGAAACGCCTGCGGGTGGTATGCACCTGAACCACCTGATACTGCACCCGGAGGGGGGCTGCTGCTTCCTGAAGTACATACTGAAGATCTGAGTCAGCTGTTGCTACCAGCGCCAGCATTTCCGCCTGTGTAGGAGCGGCAGCCATCGTGGATGCTCTGACAGGTCACTGACTGAATCTGAAAAGCGCTTTGCGCGCCTCTGACACGGGCCTTGCGCCCTTCTGACTGAGTAGGGCCCTGAGATAGCTGAAGTGAAGGCACTAATTGGCGCCGCGGGCATTCAATGGCTCTGATGTGTATCTCTTTCACAACTAACCAAGCACAAGATCTGAAGTTTCTAGCTCAAAACTGCAAAGCAAGGCTCTTTGTATGAAAAACAAGACTCCAAGCCATGCATCCACTATTAGCTAGACATGTACAGCAAGCAACCAATCTGAGCCTGGAGCAATCGACCATGCAACTTGCGATGCCTCATGACTGCAAATTTCATGATGCGCGCGCGCGCGCGCGCGCGCGCGCGCGCGCGCGCGCGCGCGCATCATAGAAACGGTACCTCCATCTGAGTGTGGAAACACGTGCAACGCGCCTCGACTGATTTGCATGGAAGCTCTGAGGTTGCACTGTACACAAGGGTCTTGAAATCCTGAAAAGACACCCTATCAAGAGAGAAAGTATCAAGCTCCCACTGAACCCAACAAACCTACCTAAGACGGCCGGTCAGCTGCTAGACTCACTCGACTGGCTTGAAGAGTCCTCGACAGCCTCCTGTCCAGCTTCGCGCCGCAGCCGATGCTTGCAGTCCCGGCAAACGCTATCGATGTCCTCCAGGTTGACCTGGTCCACAAAAACCACCGAGGAGCAGTGGTAATGTTTGACATGGCAAGGACCATTGAGGTGCAGCCGACGTAGCCCCGTTTTGGAGCTGGTAGTGATAAAATACTTGGACGCCGAAAACACCGGAGCTTCCTCCAGATCTTCTGCTGAACTGTCCGGATCCTCCAATGCAGGTGAAAAGGCGGGCCACTTCAACCCCAAGTGACGCTGGCCATCGCCGCGTCGCAAGATGTCGTGCTGCCTGCGAGCCAAGCTGCCAGACGTGCCCAAGCCGTCCACATAGCTCTTGAGCATCGACAGGGCCTCGTCCTCGTGGTATTGCCCGCCAACACCCTCTAGCAAAGCTCGACACACAGTCTCTTGCACACGGTGTACCACTTCCCTTGATGTTCGAATGTAATCGCCAGCGCCAGAGAGCCTGCTTATGAGCCAACGCCCAAGGTAATCGATGTCTTCCTTTCGAACACCTATAGCTGCCGCCACGGAAGCCAGAAAGTTTCTAGGTGAGTGTCCAGTGTACATCCTGTAGGCTCCATCAGGAAGCAGACTTCGATGCTCGTTGAGCCTGTAACTCCCACTGATCCGCTTGGGTGTTCCCAATCTGCTAAGGACTGACTTCATGTAAAGGGCCACACCAGAACTGTCAACACCCTTGTTGGTCGGCGCCGTCCAATCTCCATTTGCTTCCAAGACCAGAAAATCACGTGGTTGCTTGTACTTTTCCCACAGCTCAAAACCAGTCACTAACCAATCCTGTCCTGAAAGTCCAACATCACGCTTCACGAAGATGTATACTTCTTTGCATCGTCTATCCGGACCAGTCGTCTTTGTGCGTCCCAGCTTTGCCTTGAAGCCAGAACCAGTGATCTCCATCGTCTCCGGCCGAATGGCTTGAACATCATCGGCCCGCAGTGAGGCATACACCATTAACAATACGACCCAGCCCAGGGCACGTGCATATTCAGGTTCGCTCTCAAGGCAGACATACAGTTCTAGTGCGACAACGATGGCCACAGTAAACAGCGGGGCCTGCTTACGCTCGGGCTGCGCTGCCTCCAGATCTGCAGTGTAGGATGCTAGCTGCGCCAACCAGGTAGGGTCTCGCGAGAGCATCTCGGCTTCCGGTACCCTCCCGGCCTGTTCCAACACAGACAATGCTGCTTGAAAGCTGGGTAAAACTGTTTTCCCACAGTCGTCATTGTATTTCTCATCTGCATACTCCAGCAACGGAACAATGCTTGATGGCCAAACCTTATGATATGATGTCTCCAGCCAACGTGAAAAGGCCCTCCAAGAACGAAACCGATTACGCAGCGTTTTGCTACGTCTCGTCCCAAAGATGCGCTTCCAGGACCTCCCGTCATCGTTGACAGCATCCAACTGCGCCACCACTGGCAACTTGGCTTGCCGTATCACATCTGCCAGCAGCAATGTGTATTTCTCACGCTCATCACTCTCCTGTTGCGCTCTCTTCGCGGAATCCAGATTTGTCCTTGCTGCTCTGCGTCTGCGCTCCAAACCAGGCAAAAGAGACAGTGGATTCTGTCTAGCCAACTCATCAAATTCCTTGCTGACATCAGAGTGTACACTACGCCGGTAAGGTCTCCCAAAGTCCCTGAAACCACTCTCTCGTTTAACAAGCTGTCCCTGTCTCCCGGCCCAGTCTACAAGAAGTTAAGCGCGCTCTTGTCGTCCTTCTGTACTTATGCCTGGCAAGAAAACTTCGACCAGCTCTGCTGCTTCTGCGTCTGTGTCAAAAGCTGCCTCCAACTGCTGTGGAGTAGCGAAAACTCCTTTTAGCTTTTGAAATTCCTGGCCCTGCAAAGCAGACCATTCCATTGCTGTGCTAACTGTCCTAAGTCCTCTCCGTAGAGGAAAAACGAACCTGCTAACTAAAAATTTGGGCCGTCGACTCAACACAACAAAGCAAAGCTGAAAACTGAAATCTCATGGAGCAGTCAACATGAAGCGCATGAAAAGAGACAGATTCATGCCAAGTGACAAAATGGAGAAAACCATTTTTCCCCCTTTCAAAACTCAGCGTGGCGCTCAGTGAACCCATCCGATGTTCCCCCCCCTAGCTCCCACCCGACACGCTACCCCTCCAAACAGCTCTATCGGACGGGCCCACCAGTGCATGTGCCACTTGTCAGCACGCTTGAAGCAAGCATTGCACAAGAACTTTTCGGCCTTGCGCCCAGTAAGAAGTATAAAATGACACTCTTCTGTGCGCTGACATCCATGCCGAAGTGCTTCAATGTGGCGATCAAGATCGTGAGCTGGCTCATTGTCTGCTCGGCCAGATCATTGATTTTCATTGGGCAATCACATCATCGGCGAAAAGCGTAAGAATCTCAGCCGCTTTGGACCCCAGTGTTTTAAGCAATTGCTGTGGCAATTGCTAGACAAAGGCCGTGGCGAGACACCATAATGAAGGTGCGAGATTACATTCTTGTCGGATGCCGCGGCTTGTGCGGCAAGAGCCATAGTGCCCAAAGTGATTAATGCCAACTCGGAGATTAGCGAATGGTGTCAAAGGCTTTTGCAACATCCAGAGAGAAGGTAAGCCCTCCCAAGCATTCTGTGCGAGTAAGTCCTTGCTGCCGACGTTGGACCATGCGCTCCTTTTTGGGTGCTAGACGAACGGAATGCAAGTGTGAGAACACTCTGCCAAGTGCCTCAGGCGCAGATCTGCCACTTACATACGCATATTGCGGAACACCCCGTAGGTAGGAGTCAAGGAAAGGCTTGACCATGAAAGCCAGCATACTTGCCTGTATTAGAATGCAGGTCGCCTCCTCCACAATAGCGCTGGCTCCAAGGGTCCAGAGTATGCCCGGGGCTGCACCTGGACTGATTTGGGTCGTGGCAGGGCTTGCAGGGATGCAAGCAGTGATCAGCAGTGTATATAACTGGACAAGCATCCAGTGCAGGTTCCGCTGAGGGTGCCTGATAAAGAAGTTCTTTATAGTACGCGACAAGGGTGTCGCGTTCAGCAGCAGGGCGTTGCACCTGGCCTTGGGAAGTCCGAATTTGAATTCGTTTGCGCTGTTGCTTGGGGGCAAGCACCTTGAGCTGTCTTGCCGCCTGTTTTAACAGGCGCTCAGCTCGAATGGCCGGTGCAAGGAGTCTCCACTGGTGAAAATCAGTTATGAAGTTGGGAGTCCGAGACCGGTGCCTGGAGCAACGCCGCACGTGCCTGCCAGAGGGAAAGAACCTGTTCATGGGGTCTGTCTTTGATGTCAGGTGGGGATAAGGGACGTCGGACACTGGTGTCATGCCAAGCCTGTTTGAGCGCAAGATCGAGCTGGGCAGCAGCAGGCTGAGACGGAAGCCGGACTTTTAGATTGCAGACGAAGTCGGCCTCCAGATTTGGATCCTGCTTGAGGGCGTCGGAAACTTGCCTGGGTTGGATGTTGTTCTGGATTTCCAGGGCAGAAGACAGGCCCCATGGCTTCCATTCAAGTGAGAAGCTGGCCTGCACAGGGATATGTTGAGCACCTTTGCGAGAGGCAGCAACCGGCCAATTGAACGGCTTGGCCTTTTTGCTCTCCCTATCACTGTGGAACTGCCTGAGCATGATGAAGTCAATCTGTGTTGCGGCACCTGTGGATTCATTGACAAAGGTAGCGGCAGCCTTGCCAAAGGTGTTGCAAGCTACTAGACGATGGACTTCTAAGAACGCACACAGATCGGCAGTGTCGGATTGGGGACCGGATTTTGTGGGTCGACCCATGCCTGTGAGCCCTGTCATGTGTGGCAGCGAGGTGTTGAAGTCACCTATAAGACAGAGCGGGTTGCGAATAGGGAAGCTGCGAACGGTGGCCTGGAGCCTCTGAAGAAACCGATGTCGGCGCTCTGTTGCGCCTCTCCACCAGTCCTGTTGATCATCGTTCTTTTGATGATACCATGCGTGTTGGTACACATGGAGCACGTCTAATGGCTGATGGCCTTTGGGGAAGAAGATGCGTACATGTTGCAGCCTGCCGACAAGGACAGGGGTGTGCTTGATCATGTGTGGTTGAGCCAGTTTCTTGGAAATGCACATGAGTAGACCTGCCTCCTTAGGCTTATGGCTTCCATGATGGATGTATGACCAGTGATCATCGTCCCACTCAAAATCATCCCGCCAGTACGTCTCCTGGATACATACGATGTCATGCCCATGCGGAGTCTTTAACAGCCAGGTGAGGAATTCATTCCATACTGTGACCGTTAAGCCTCCCGCGTTCCAGGTCATGATGCTGCATCTGAGACCTGGTGGTGGGGAACGTGGAGTGGATCGATGTGGAGACGTGGTGTCTGGATGAGACTGTTCGCCTCGGCCAAGAAGGTCATGGACGGAGCAAAGTCTGCCTCGGTAGCGAGTAATTCCAAAGTGTCTGGCACGAAGGACTGCTCTCTTAAAAGATCGTTTTCTGCAGCCAGTTAGTGTAGGGACATAGTGGCCTGGGTTCGCCGGCATATGGCGAGGATGAAGTGAGGTACTGGCTCCAGGATCAGTGGCCTCTGATCCAACCCTCGGCTCACCCGAACTGAATGATGCAGCACGGCTTGCTTGTACTTGCCAAAGAAAGAGTAGTGACAGGAGCAGCCTGGATCGTGTTCTCGTTCGGGACGCGGGCTTGGGACCGCGATCAGCCTTTGCTGGCGCATATGGTTTGGGGATACAGTGTGTCAAAGAGCGAAGGAGAAGAGGAACCTGTCATACGGCCTCTGTCCACACGTTCTTACCTCTTTCACTTGCGCAACAGAAGAGACTCCGAAGGAATGCACGATCCCTGTTTGGCACGCTCGCTGAAATTCTGCTCCAAGGACTGGGCATCGCGGAAGTGCCCTGCCCTGGTAGTTCGCTCCAGTCGAAGGATGCACCTTCCCTCTCGGCTCACCTCTGAGGTTATGATAGCCAGGCTATCCCTCTTAGAGGGTGGGCTCCATGGCATCTAGGCAGCTACCCTACCTGAAAACTGCCTACCACTTGCCTTCTCACTCGAGCCGAGAGCCTTGAGCCACCTTGAGCCACAACCTGGGTTCAATTTTTTTTCCGAGTTGAGCTTGGTTTGCGAGTCCACCGTCTTGGTGTTTGGGACCGGAGTCCGTACTGCTAAGTACCACTACACTATCTTGAGCAGCAGAGGCTAACTGTACAGGTAAAGCCTTCTGCTACTAGTGCCACTACTGAGGATGGGACCTCAAGCCTATGAGGTCATTGCCTCAGCCTCTCACTAGAGGGTGGCACCTCTCGCTGCTGCTAAGCTCCACCGAGCCCCACCAATCGCTCCTCTTCCCAGTACTGAGTGAGAGGGTAGCCCCTATCTGTGGGTGCGGATTGCCTCATGTCCGCTTGCAAACTACCCTTCTCCCTTTCCTGTCAGTAAGAGGGCATCCCTCCTGGTGCACAGCAAGGCATATACATTCTGCACTCAGAACCTGCGACCCCTCGGCCACAGGCACCAATTACCTGTACAAATTGGTTTGGCCCAGCTACAGGGTTGTCCGCCTGCTTCAGCTGAGAGGAAAGAACTGCCGTGACTGCTCAGCCTGCAGCCCTGTGGGCCCTGGGCAGTGAAGCCCGCCACTTCACAGCCCGAGGATGCCACCTCCACACTCCTGGCGTCTGGCACTCCAGGACACTGTGTGGAGGGTTCCAGAAAGCACCTCCTGAAAACTACCCTGTGCAAGGGTGGATGGGACCACCTGGACAAGGCTTATGTCGACAGGCTTGGGGACACTGCACCCCTCAACTTGGTATATTTGGCGCAGGGTCGACGCCTCCCCTCAACAAGGCGCGGGGACCACGCTTTCCCCTCAATTCCCCCATGCACGAAGTGCACTGGCGCGGGGAAACACGCCAGGCAGAAGCCAAACCCATAAACATAAACCTCAGGCAGCGCCTAAGGCGGAATCTTGCCTCTGGTAGCTACACTCTCAAGCACTGCCGCCAGTGTGGATTTACTGTAGATGAGTCCTAGGCAAGGCCAAGGTGGACAAACTAAAGCTCCTGACACTAAGCTTGGTAGGCCTGGGCATACCCCAGCATGACAAAGGTCAGGAGGGCCTTATACCACTCATCTCAAAGAGGATAAAACCTCTGGCTGTGTGAGTCACGAAAGAGCCCGCCAGATCTATCTCACACTTCAAGCCAATGTTGAACTGGTTAGCAGCCAGTGTAGGCGATAGCCCGTTACAAGCCACAGACAATGTAGCAGGCATCCAGAAGGGGGCATGTGCTTTCGGCCTGCTGGCCACTGCATCACGTTCCCTAATCGCCACTGCAGACTCCCAAACTTCCAGCTTCCTAACTCCAGCTCTCCAGGGATTGCAAGCGGTGGCAACAGGCTGTACAGACCAGTTGCTTCGCCGCAGCTCCGGCTTTCACTCTCTTACTAACCGTGCCTTGCGGTCCCCCCCGAGCATACTGGGCTGATCCCTGCCCGCCGGCCCTTGCCCCTATCTGTTCGGGTCAGAGGGTCTGCACCTCTCTGCTGCCTCGGTGCCACTTGGCCACGAGGCCCATGGAAGGCATCCCTGTTTGGCACGCTCGCTGAAACTCTGCTCCAGGGACTGGGCATCGCGGAAGTGCCCTGCCCTGGTAGTTCGCTCCAGTCGAAGGATGCACCTTCCCTCTCGGCTCACCTCTGAGGTTATGATAGCCAGGCTATCCCTCTTAGAGGGTGGGCTCCATGGCATCTAGGCAGCTACCCTACCTGAAAACTGCCTACCACTTGCCTTCTCACTCGAGCCGAGAGCCTTGAGCCACAACCTGGGTTCAACCCAGGTTCAACCCAGGTTCCCTCTCCCACCTATGAATCCATGGCCTCGTTGGCTTATGGCCCCTGCCCCTACGCTCCCTCCGCCCGCTTCCTTGTCATGGTCGGGCTCCGCCATGGCCATGCCGGCCCCACGGCCCCATGGTTCCACGGCCCCATGCCCTTAGCGCTTGCCCCGCCTGCTTCGGCTCCCCCCATGGCCCTATGCCCCTACGGCCCCATGGTCCCACAACCCCATGCAGGCCCCATGGCGCGTCTCTACCTCATGGCCCTATGGAGAACCCCAAGACTCGGCGTTAACTTTGGAGATGAAGTGTTCCAGTTTCTTTAGCAACCCCCCAAACCCTTAAACCGCTGCGCCCGATGCCCTTCAAAGCGACCAGACGGTCGACTTCAAAACCGCAAGCGACCAAACGGTCGACGTGACCCCTAAACCCTGAACCCTAAACCCTGAGCCCTGAACCCTAAACCCTTAACCCTAAGCGACTTTAAAACCCGACGTGACCAGACGGTCGACTTTAAAACCCTACACTTCGCCCACTTTCAACACCCACTTTGGCTCCTCGTCCAAGGTGTAGACCACTCTCGATCCTCCTCTGGCCAGGATGGTGAGCTTCCTGACCTACGTGCAATTGGGGGGGGCTGCGCCCCCCCCAACCCCCCTGCTCTCTACTTCTAGAAACAAAAACACTCTCGTCTCTACTCCTCTGATCTTCGAATAATGAAACACAAAAAACAAAAGAAGATTCGAGGGGGGTAGAATTTAGAAAAAAACTCCCTTCACCCTTCTCCTCTGAGTTTTCGAAGAATGAAATACGAAAAACAAAAGAAGGTTCGAGGGGGGGTGGAATTTAGAATAAATTCCCTTCTCTCTCCTCCTCTGATTTCTCGAATAATGAAATACAAAAAACAAAAGATTCGAGGGGGGTGGAATGTAGAATACATTCCCTTCTCTCTTCTGCCTTCCTCCCACTCCGCATTCTCGCTTCTCCCTTCCTCCCACTCCCTCGTCTGTGATTTAAAATAAAGTCTACTTCTATAAACAAAAACCGTCTCGTCACTACTCCACTGATTTTTCGAATAAAGAAACACAAAAAACAAAAGAAGATTCGAGGGGGGTGGAATTTAGAATTCCCTTCTCTCTTCTCCTCTGATTTTTCGAAAGATGAAATACAAAAAACAAAAAAGATTCGAGGGGGGTGGAATTTTGAATACATTCCCTTCTCTCTTCTCCCTTCCTCCCACTCCACATTCTCTCTTCTCCCTTCCTCCAACTGCCTCGTCTCTATATAATTTAAAATCTAATACCTTCTCTCTTCTCCCCTTCCTCCCACTTTACAAGAAGTAAATGCGGAGGGCTGCGCCGCGCCCCCCCCCCAACCCCCCCGCTCTTTACTTCTAGAAACAAAAACAGTCTCGTCTCTACTCCTCTGATTTTCGAACAATGAAACACAAAAACAAAACAAGATTTGAGGGGGTGGAACTTAGATTAAACCTTCTCTCTTCTCCCCTTCCTCCCACTCCACAACAGGCAAAATGGGGGGGGCTGCGCCCCGGGCCCCCCCCAACCCCCCCGCTCTTTACTTTTAGAAACAACAATAAAGTTTCGCACCAAAAGAAGATTCGAGGGGGGTGGAATTTAGAATAAATTCCCTTCTCTCTTCTCCTCTGATTTTTCGAAAGATGGAATACAAAAAAACAAAAGAAGATTTGAGGGTGATGGAATTTTCAATAAATCCCTTCTCTCTTCCCTTCCTCCCACTCCACATTCAAGAAATCAAAACAGTCTCGTCTCCTTTCAAGATTGAACTTGAATTCAATTTTTTTTCCGAGTTGAGCGAACAAATGCGAACTTGAATTCAACCCAGGTTCAACCCAGGTTCAATCCAAGTTCAACCCAGGTTCAAGCTGCGTTTCAAATTGACCCAGGTTCAACCTGGGTTCAACCTGGGTTCAACTTGGGTTCCTTCCGGGTTCAACCCATGTTCAACCCAGGTTCAACCCAGGAGAGAACCCAGAAAAAATCAGACCCTTCAATTGGTTCGAACCCAGGTTGAACCCAGGTTCGATGGTCCAGAAGATGATCAGGCGAAGATGAAAAGCCTGGCCAGTCCATGGGAAGATCAGGTAGTAAGGGAGCACCACGGGAAGCGACGTTGCTGCACTCTCCACTTTCCACAGGCGCAAAGAGGATGCAGAAAATACTGCGACACGGACACGCCAGGCAGGAGGGACCAAGGCAAGATCAACTGAGCTTGACACGTCTACAAGCCAAACTACTGTCCGTCTCTGACGTGGTAAGTCGGATCTGTTGGACCGCAGCTACCACACTCAATCCAAAACAAACCAACCAAAGCACTGGTGTAGCAATGATTAGAAGGGTTCTGGAATTTGATTCTTGACAGGAGGTCGAGGTTCCGCAAGGACTGCAGGGCCGCTCTGTCTTGGAGCGGTAGTGGTCTGCAAGGGAGTTTCCTCAACCTTAGTTTTGGGGAAAGAAGAAAAGAAGTCAGATTGCGAGTAGCCGGAGCAGAGATTACCGTCTTTCTGCCTTGACGGGTGGGAAAAAGGGATTCGGGGACTCCCACTCCCTCAACAGGCCTTTGGTGGTCTAAGCTAATTTGTTCGACTTTTTTGAACCCACGAACCTACCAAGCTGCAACGTCTGGTGAGTATTTTGACCAATTCCAATGAGCCTGGGCAAGCAGGTGAGCTGCAGCAATTGCCAATTTGTGCTTGCGGATGCTGCAGCTTGCATGCAATCGGGCCTGACTGAGGCTGACTGAGGTGACCCACGTCTGAAATGACTTTGACTGCTGAGGGTCAAGCAGGCTAGCGCTTGAGGCATTGGGAGGGGAGGTGCAGTTACGAGGACAGCGCGAACTCGTGTGAAAAACATGTGTTGAAACTGCTTGTGCGTGAGCAATACATTGCCCCTCAAGGTTGTTAGACATGGGCTGATGACTGGCTTAGTCACCGCCGCAGCGGCTGAACGCATCTAAAAGTTGCAGAGACAAGAGGTTGCCATTGGAGCCTCCAGATTCCAGCACGTCGCGGCTCATTGCGGCGGCAAGGTTTTGCAATGCTTCGGCCTGACTGATCGTCTGATGCGACCACACTTTCAGAAACTGGGTGCGTCTGGTTGGTTCATCTGTCGATGCCTGCTTGTCAACTGAAGCCACAAGGTATGATCGCGGGCGCTGTCTTGTTCTTTGGTTCTCCTTCCACCCACGTGTGCAGAGCATGCGCACTCCGAAGCCGCTAGCTGCAGATGTCCCATGTTCAGAGACATGTCTCCAGGTGCTCTCACTCCGCGCCTCCCTCCTTCCCTTTTTCTCCGCTCCCTCAGTTCGCTGAGTTTCACTTCTAAGCAGGACGCTTCTGCGCTTCAGCCAGACTTGTGTGCACTTGCTCACATTTAGCACATTCGTCGCGCTGTTGCCGTTGAAAGCCTCGATTGAGCGGCGGCCGTGCAGCAGCCGTGTAGAGATTCTTGCGTTGAGAGTCCCCCTTGGTCCGCGCCAACCCTGCAGCGAGGCTGGGTTCTGCATAGGTCAAGATAGGAGTTATTGGGGCAGGTCTCTTGATGACTTGATGACTTTTGTTGTTTTTTTTTGCTGTTTTCTGCTTCAGGTCATGTGGATGAGCATCCAACAGCCGAGAACGGAAGAGGTGCCTCACGCGTCCCGCGCGCGCGCCTCTTAGCAGACAAGCCATAGCCTCCACCTGGACTTCGAAAGATGCAGGCGTGCTGCGATGCGGATGCTCACATGTCAGAACTCCTGAAGAAGGACGAAGCCCGAGATGCGCATGGGATCGGTGATGCCGCATTTCTGCCAGGAGTTGGGGTCTCTGCGCGAAACGTTGATGCGGGAGTTCCGTCAGATGATGATGGAGCAGATGCGCGACATCCGGCTGTTGGTCAAGGCGTGTTGTCAGCCTGTGCGCACATGTGGCAGTCAGTTGCATTTCACCAGGACATTGGCTCCGTATGCCCAGAGGTAGTTCAGGCGTGGGGAGCTTGGTAGCAAGCTGCGCCATTCATGTGCTCGAGTCTGCTAGAACGGCTGTAAGTTGTATCATTGTGACATGTTCAGACGCCAGGGCACCTGACATCTGCTCCTTCACGCTCGGTGAAGAGGAGGACCGTCATGAAAGACACGGAAGGGTTCAGACAGACCTTGGATGATCTTGGGTGCCCTTTCTCGGCTTGTGACAGACCTGGCTGTCGGACTCATCAACGCACGTTGGGTCCAAGCCTGAGCCCAAACACATCAAAAAACGTCCACAACACCGGCAAGATCCGAAGCCTGCGGCCGAGGCATCAGTTCGAAATCGATTCCGAGTATGATCACGTCGTCTGGTCGGAGGTGAATTCTGACTTCTGACGGCAGTTGAAAATATGTAGACACATTTCGGAAGTTAACAGCTTGTGTTCGCGCTTGCCAGGTTGAGGCGGGCTCTGCCGAGGCGCAAAGGGTGGCTCCACGTGGCACCGTAAGTGTCTCGGAATCGGAAGCGGGATGCATGTAGTGGCGCAGGCCGCTGATGGCGGAGATGGAGACCAAGATGCCGGCTGCCCGGAATCTGGCGTGAGCGCGAGCCGAGCGCGAGCCGAGCGCGAGCGGAGCTTGAGCTCTGAGGAGTTGAGCTTTGAGGAAAGCCTTTCGAGCTTTGAGAAAGTGGCCTTGGCCTCACCTTCTCGCACGAGCCAGCAGTTACTCAGCAGTTCAGAGGCAGGGAAGGCGTCATATTTCTCACACAGACCAGCGCCGGAGGACGAGGTGAAACACACGCGGTGGGCTGGACCATGGACGGTCTTCCAGGCCTGAAAATCAGATTAAAAACAAATCTGATATGCTTCACAGAAACTGCTTCACAGAAATTGGTTTCAGGACAGCAACGTTTCTGCACCGGCTGAGGCCGGCTGACGTCAGGCGAAAGCTTGAAGCAGCTCAGCTTGCAGCAGCTTGCAGCCTGCCGAGGCAAGTGGACCAGTGACATCGCTGCATGGCCTCCCCGTTGTGCGCCTCGGCTGCCGAAATCATCTGTCATCGGTCTCTAGAGTCCCGAAACTCCCGAAACTCCCATTCAGACCGGGCCCAACGAACTCGCTGGCAAGTCAAAGAGCCAGAAGGGATGCAGTGGGGTCTTCGGTGTGGGCATTTGGAAAGTGATTCATGTCCAGCCTTCCCGTGCGTGGTGCTTCCCCGAGGCTACTTGCAGAAATCCGGCGATTTGCCTTGGTGGCCTCCTTGGTGTCATAAGAATCGTACTGGCAATTGGAGTGCATTGAGCATTGAGATGCTTAGAGGTTGGGGCGCTGGGGTTCTGGGGCCTCTGTCGTGCCTCTGTTGTGCCTCTGTGGTCCATTCGGTCTTGAGGCCGACGATGAGTTCAATGAATTCGGCGGCGCCAGCCGGGTCATGAGCGAGGCACGGGCACTCTGCGAAGTGCCACGATTGCCATGTCAGTTGCTCACGATTGCTTGTGTTCCTAGCTGTTATATGCTTCCAGGCGACCGTTGCTGCCTTGATACTCGACGAGCTCTGCACAAGCTGCTGCGGGGTCGTGCAGCCAGCTTTGGGGCATGCCAACGTCGGGCAACTTTGTACCTTCACGAAGTGGTTCCAAGGGGCAGTGGCCGGTCTGCAGATTGCGCACAGTGTTGTCAGCAGATATCGTTGCAATGTGTAGGAATCAGATAGTTATGGAGTTGGGCCTTGAACGCCTCGTGACGCAGCTTCATGCTACTGACAGTGCAGCCTGCGCGGACTGGATGTGCTGAGGACCGCGGAAGCGCCGAAAACCAGGACATTCTGCAGGAGAGCTGGCAGCGCTGGCACGAGAACAAGAGCCTGAAAGCGCTGGAGAGATGTGAAAGATTCTAACGGCCTTGTGGCCAGTGCCATGACACATCGTGAAGATGGACATGGCGATCATGGCGCAGTGGAAGGATCTTTGTCCCGCCGTGCGACAGGCTGGCACATCTCCGGCGAGTCCCGCCGCGCCCCAACCACTCCAACCGTGTGACCAGGATCATCTCTTCTGTTCCAGTCTCATAAAGTCTCATACCGGCACTATCAGGCACTTGCAGTTGCGGATCTCGTTCTCTGGCGTCACGACATTCACGACTGTGCTCTGCGCGGCTTTGGCACATGTGAGCGTCCATGGGAGATCAGACGAGGGCAGCGTTGCGGTTGCTGTGGCGCTCAATGATCGCGCAGCTCTATGGAAAAGTTCACGCGTTGCTCCTGGGCCCACATGCCTCTGGGAATCTCTCAGTAGTGTTGCAAAGAGGTCAGTTTGAGCACTTGCTAGACTTTTTGGGGGTGTGGCATACAGGCTGCAAGACATACTTTGACCATTGCATGACTGGAAGCTTCAACGTGTTTCCAGCTTTTGCATGCTTTTGCTGCAGGTCATCTGTTCAAGTATGTCTGCAAGAAAAGGAACAGGTGCTTAACAAAAACATCAAACTTGGGGTTCTTTTAGTCTTGCTAGTGACTGCTAGTGTTGGCAACAAAATTGTCCGTGGCCATGGCGACAACAGCAGTGCCAGAGACTGACTGTCTTTGCGTTGACGACACATACGGTCTTTAGACGATCCCGAGCGATGTGCTGTGCATTGTTCTGAGGGCCATTCCATCGGAGGGAGGAGATGAACTTTTTGCCAAGTGAGCACTTGTGCATTGCTGCCCAGCAAGTTGACTTGCAAAGCTTGTTGACAGGTATTTTGCTGAAATCACGCTCGATGTGGTTGAGGAGAGATTGCACCACAAGACGGCCCAATTGTGCGAAAGCGGCCCCTTACAAGGTTCTATTCAAGACCTTGCCTCTGATCACGTTGTTTCGGTGAGTTGAACAGCGGAACCATGGAACTGGTCTCGCTATGTTTGGTCATCGTTTTCTTAGACAGGTCTGAGCCTCGACAATCCAGTGGGCACAGTCGCACACTGCGTGTTTTCGTTCTCTGCAAAATGTTACACCAATGGCCCACCGCGGGGCTGCACAGATGGTGTGCACTTTGCAGGAGCAGACCTTCCTGAAGCGAGCCATGGAAGAGCCAGGGTCAGAGCCTCAGGGCCCCAAAGCAATCAAAGCACAGAGCCGTTGCAGAGCTTCGCTCGAAACATCAATGTGATTCGTTCAAGTTCGTGCAAGTTTCCGAAAGTTTTCGGAGAGTTGAGGCCCAGGTATGTCCACCTGCGGCGCAGCTCCATCGGGACCGTGACGATCCCCCCTCACATTGAGGATTGCTTGCTTTCTCGATGCACGTAAACCGAGCTTGCAACACATGCTCATACATGCTCACATAAGTCATCACACAAAGATCTCCCCCTCGCATCGTCATGGAGCACGGTTGGGAGGAGAACCAGCCTCACAAAGTCATCTCCCAGGTGAGGAACCTGGGAGGAACCTTTGCAGATCGGTGTTGACTTTTGACCCCCCCCCTTCTTTTCCACGTGATCGATCCTTTTTTGTGCAGAGGTGTGGACTGGGCACCCCAAAGTTGATCGGACACTGCCCCTTGGGTTACACCACTTTATTGGTGTTGCATTTTGGCACGGGGAGTTGGGGATACGTCTCCACTCAGATGTCCCCCCCACAGATGTCCTCACAGGTTTATCATGGACCGCCGTGCCGAAAATCGGCTGCGGTACTCCGGGCTTTTCTTGCAGTATCTTGTAGTGAGCCATCCGGAGCCTGACTTAGCCTTTGACTTGGCCCCGCTGCCAGGGAGCTGAAAGCAGTCGGCACGCAAAAGAGCGTACCCATGCTCAGAGGCGTCGCTTGCTCAAAGAAGGCCGGGTTTTGTATGTTCTGTGGGATTTCCGTGGTCCTCTTGTGCATCTTTCATCATGTCAGAACTATGGGGCCCGATTGGGACCAGAGCCATTTGGAGATTCCTTCCGCCACGGGCTCAGCTGCCGATATGATGCAGGGAGCCCATGTGCTGAGAACCCACTTGGAGCTTGGATGTGAGGGAACCATTTGGAGTCTCGGAGGAAACAAATGCAGCAGTTCGGCACACAAAGCTGCGGACCACTGGACGAAAAGACGAAGGCATAACAACTTGGCAACAAGTTGACATCCCACAGGGAGTCGCGCGCCGATCAAGCACAAGCGCGACCCCAGCGCGCAGGAGCAACACGAAACATGGGCCCCGCAATGGAACAAATGGATCTGTGATTCGTTTGCCAAGAGCGAGCTATCTTCTTAGGGACTGCAATTCAAGGCCGCTTCTGACTTGCTGTGTCAATGCCCTGTCGTGGTGGGCTCCATCCTGTCTTGGTATCGACTGGGACATTCAATCTGAGAGGTGCCAAGTACCTAAACTCTCAGAAGAAGTCTCCGGTGGCGACTGCCAGAGCCTAACGGCCTAATGGCCTAAGGGCACCTGTCACCTTTTGCATGATTGCCAAGCCATGGCAGCGACGTCTCTGTGACTTCCAGGCCCCTCCAACGTTCATGGACAAACTGGTCGACTAGCGCTCACATGGCCTTTGTGCTGAGCTTTGTGCCACCTCGCACCCGCCACGCACCCGTCACGCTGCCCTGACTCCACTTAAGGACCAGCTCTCGGACCTCTGAGCGCTGTGAGATCGCTGTGGGCTGTGCCTTCGCTTTGTAAGCTGAGCTCCCACGAATCATCCATGCTGATCACCCCTCTCTGACGCCTGCAAAACGCGTGCGGGCGCCTGTCTCTCGCAACTCGCGAGCAGAGCACTCTGGCAAAGCCAGAGAGTGCTCTTTGAGAGCACAGTTGGAGAGAACGCTGAGTTGGCCGTTGAAAAATCAGAGCATATCTTTGACGCGGCGAGTTTTTCAGCACTGTTAAGTAACACTGTGCTCACTGTTGCTGTGACGCCGCTCTGAAGGCCGCTGTGGGCCTTACGGGCCCTGTGCCCTGGTCCTTTGATGATATTGCAGCAGTGGATCAAGAACCGTAGGACACTTGGGGTTTGCCCGGGGGACGCCCGAGGGGGGAGGGGTGGGTAGTTGTGGTGGGCGGGGCTTTTGAAGGCCATGGCCCATGGCCGCATTCAAGCTGCTCTCGGTCGTCTCCTCACCTTCTTAAGCTGAGTCATCTGTCACCGCACCTGTCACCCCTGGCCTGCCGGCCAGGTAAGCACCACTACGCATTCATCAAGAAGGCTGAGAGCCATGTTCCAGTCATAGTTAGACATATTCATTATCGCCCGCACGATCCGTTGCAAAGGTTGGAGAAGGCTCCTTCGGGGCTGCCATTCTCTGCCAGCACGATACTGACAAGGAGCGCGACACCAAGGCACAGGGGCGGTTCCTTGGCAGTGTTCCTCGGCGGTGATCATCCTGCTTGCACAGGCCATCGTGAAGATGATCGACATCAGCCGCGCTTCGAAGCAAGAAAAAGATGACGCCTTGAAGGAAAGCAAGGCGCAAGTGGCGCAAGTGGCGCAAGTAGCAATATCCTGGAGGAAACCTGGGAGTCAACACCTCGAGGTGCTGGCGTCTTTGAAGCATCCCTACATCGTGCGGTACAGGGAGAGCTTCAATGAGGCCCGCCCCCCCCGCTCGACGCCCTCGACATGAGAGAGCAACTTCTGAGCACTGCTGGCAGCACGGCTGGCAGCACTGCTGGCAGCACTGCCCCGCAAGTTGCGCGCTTCTGGGTTAGGACGGCTGGCTATGCATCGTGATGGACTACTGTGAAGGGGGCGACCTCTCCGGAAGGATCAAGAACGCCAGGCGCGACCTCTTCGAGACGCACGGTGTGTCTGAAGCTCTCTGCACGTTCAGGCAGTCTTCGAAAATCTTCCCACAGGATCAGGTCGTCAGGTGGTTCACCCAGGCTCTTGCTTCCTGCAGAGCCATAGCAGTCGCACAGCGCATCACAATACGCACAATGTGCAAGGCCATTCTGGCCTTGAAGTACATCCACGATCTTCACATCCTGCACAGAGATCTGAAGTCAGGGAATTTCTTCTTGTCCAAGAGTGGCCCGGGGGCCTAAGGAAAGGAAGCATCCTCCATCTGTGTGGGTCAGAGATGGGACTGCACCGAGCGGAGCCTATTTGTCAGGCAACATAAAGATGGGTGATTTTGGCATTGCCAAGGCACGCGAGTAGCTCACCTCTGTAACCTGAGTCCTCATTTCCGACTCCCCGCTCGTAGGTGCTTGAATGCACAGCGGCATGTGCGCAAACACAGATCGGCACGCACGGAACTTAGAGCATGCGAGCCCACAGAAAACATCCCGCATGTCATTGGCGATGCTTTTGCAATCTGCTACCCCAGGCCGTACTACCTCTCTCCAGAGATTTGTCAGGGCAAGAACTATGCGTGGAGCTCCGACATTTGGAGCATGGGGTGCATTCTCTATGAGATGTGTGCCAGGCAAAAGGGGGGACAACGCAATCTGCTACTGCGTTGCCGAGCGTTTGGCGTGCGTATGCAGGAAAGTGCCATTTGATGCCCCGGATCTGAGCCTTGTCTTTCACATCTTGCTGACTTGGGGACTCAAGCTCCTTGCACCTCATTGCAAGGAAGAGCCTTATCCACAAGATTACCAAGGAGCCGGCTCCGGAGGTGTGCCTTGAGACGCGCTGAGTCTTGAGTTCAGTTGAGTGCTTCGTCTCCACATGTCTCCACACTCCCCACATGTCTCGACGTTTTAGATTCTTCACATTATAAAGAGCACCCGAGCAGAGTCGCGTCAGCAGCTTTGGAACGAGCGTGCACAGTCGCACGCGCTCTCACGCGTGCAACTGCTCCGCCAGGTCCCAGCGGACTACTCTGTGGGAGTTCGCAGCCTGGGAAAGGCCTTAAGCTCGGTGAGACCCAAGATGACTGATTCGCACGTATTCGCACATATTCATAAACATCGTGTCCTGGTGTCACCTCTCGTGACAATCCTGAGGAGCTGTTGGACAGGGACCCCAATAAACGTCCACCTGCTGTCGCTGGCTGAAATGAGGGAGGGGCATTGCAGTGGCATTGTTGCAGTGCAGTGTAAGCTCATTTGACGGCTTTTTGAGTGATGTCAAGGCCGAAATCCTGAAGAGACCCGTTGTGCAAGAAATGGTGAGAAGGTCCCGCGCATTCTTGTTTCCAGCGTGTCGCTGAAATTGACCTTTTTTTGGAACATCGAAAAGAAGTTCAGAGTGACATGGTGCGTTTGGTGCATTCAGAACTGCACTCGAAAGCCGCAGCAGCAGGATGCTCGACGAGGTCAAGGGCGAGGCCGGCGAGGAGGACAGAAGCAGCTGTGTTGCCAAGCGACTTTCTGAGGCATTCCTCGTATCTGCGATTCCACTGGCACTCTCTCTCCCCGAACTTTATCGCGGATATGTGTGCATGGCTTCCCTTGACCTGGAGTGATGGTGTCGAAGTGTTCGAGGAACCAGCCACCGCAACAGAACCAAACTCCACACCCAAGCCGACACCCGGGTTCGTTTGCGGTTTGGACGTGCTAGTTGATTCGAGTGTAACAGCGTAGCATGTTGGCTTCTAGCTGCCAAAGCACAGCTGTCTTCGTATGAGCCCTCCCCCCCCCTGCTCTGTTGTACCACCTGGCTTCTGCTGCGGCAATTTTGAGGTGATGTTTTGGCGGGCCCTCGTGTGTGGCAAGATGACTTCGTGATCCTCACGTCCAAGACTGCATACCGTTTAGGTCCTCACGGACTCCAGCAACAGCATAGCAACAGCCACTAGGCAAGAAAGACCGGAAGATCAAGGGCACGTCTAAGGATGCCACGTGATCTGGCAGCAGAATGTCTTGGCAAGCTCTCACGCGCTCGGCGTGCTTTTCATGGTTTCTAGCTTGGCATAGTGACATAGTGCAAACACTGGCCTCAATTGCCCAAATGCGCCCGTTTTCGTATCGAGTGTAGTTCAGAGAAAAGTGAGCGTTTATAGTTTTTCTGATTTGTCCTCATCGTTAAGACGTCGCCATGCGCAGGACAAGCGGGGTGGGAAATAGGGGTGGGACATAGCTTGGGGATATTACGAGGCACAGGCTCCGCCGATCTCCGCCTGAAGCGGTGCTGCATGTGCAATATGTGGCATATGTGGCAGCAACGCATGGAGCAGCGGCAAAAGTTTTTGATCGTGCGCATGTGCTTGGACCGATTCCCCACAGAGCCGGTGTCCATGTCTGAGGATGTAGCACACCAGCATACCACGAAAACGCAAAAAACAATAGAATGGCCAGAACAGGAGGGCGAGAAACCGCCTCCCCCTCCGGCGCCTGCAGGCCGAGAAAGTTCGAAGTAGCGGGAGCTGAGATTAGGAGCTTCGGTGCCCTCTTTGAATTTGAAGCGTACGGGTGTTGCCTTCGGATTTCAATCTGTTTTCTTGACTGCTACCTTCGCTGCCTTTCGCCCTACTTCTTCTTGGTCAGCATCATCATGGAAGCCCGGGGAGCTCCCCGTCTCGTCTGCTGTAGAACCGCTGCCTTGAGGCGAGCGTGACTGCTTCGGGTTCTCAACTAGACATCCAACAGGTGGTGGTGTGGGTGCCGCATCGCCTGGTGTGGCCGGACCCTACGGCAGCGAGGGCCTCAGAATTCTTAGGCTCTTTTTTTGGGGTGTGGGTTTTTTGGTTTTTTGGGGCCTCGTTCCGCCCGCCTGCCGCCCGCTGCCCGCCCAGCCCGCTCCCCGCCCAGCCCGCCCCGCCCGCCCCGCATGTGCGCGCTTTTGGCTACCCCCCTCCTCACCATTAAAATCGTCCGTTTGTAGTGTAAGCCTGATGAATCTATGTGTCTCTGCGCTTGTCCCCGCCCCCCTTCCCCCTCGAAATCGTCCTTGCGTAGATTTGTATAGTACACACGTAGTACCTCTATGCGTCTCTGCGGTTGTCGGCGCATGCTTTTGTCCCCTCCCCCTCCCTTTAAAATCGTCCTATTTGTAGTACAAACGACCTCCATGCGTCTCGGCAGTTGTCGGCGCGAGCTTTTGGTCCCCCTCGCCCCCTGCCCCCTGCCCCCTTTAAATCGTTTTGCAGGAACTTTGCAATAGTGGAAATCGAAGTGCGGACGCTTGACCACCTCGCAAATATCGTGACAAAACCCTCGTAAATATCGTGGACATCGAGTTCCACACGCTTGAAAACCTCGCAAATATATTGTGTCTGCGATTGTCGGCGCCCCCCCTTTACCCGTCCTGTTGTAGGAAAAGAGAAGGCGAATTCGGGACGCTACACCGATGAGCACGTACGCACGCACACTTCTGTATGCTTTTGTTTCATTGTTTTGGGTCAGCAGGGAGGTAGACAGCAAGGAAAACAGGCAAGCTGTGCAAATGGTGAGTTGGAGCTGACCCTGCCCCAACCGTCCCAACCCCCCCTTGCCCCCTTGCCTTTGTTCTCACCGTGCAAGCTTGCGTTCAGCAATCCCAAGACTTTTCTGGGAATCTTGGTTCTTGGTTCTTGGTTCCCATCGTGTTAATGAACACGGGGCCCGTGTTAATTAACACCGCCCCATCCCCATGGGAACCAAAAGTCCCCGCAAGACTTTCCCGGGAATCTTGGTTCTTGGTTCTTAGTTCCTGGCGTGTTAATTAACACGGAGCCCGTGTTAATTCACACGGCCCCATCCCCTGGGAATCGAGAATCCCCGCAAGACTTTTCCGGGAATCTTGGTTCTTGGTTCTTGGTTCCGGTCGTTTGAATGAATACTGGGCCAGTTTTAATTAATACTGGACCAGTATTAATTAATGCTGGGCCAGTGTTAATTGACACTGCCCTACCCCTGCGAACCATCCCCTGACTTTTCTGGGAATCTTGGTTCTTGGTTCTTGGTTCCGGCCGTGTGAATTAACAGTGGGACAGTGTTAATTAACACGGTGCCCAGACGATGGGCACCAGGAATCCCCGAGTTGGACTGCTCCCCAAAACGACCGTAAGGAAGAAACTCATCGCCATGAGTTCTTGGGGGTGGCAAGCTTGAGTCATTTCATTCGGTCTGATTCAGGGCAGTTGTCTTGGTTTATTGTTCGCTATATAGCAAAGTAATAAGTTCATATTTCGTACTTTAGTAGCTATATAAGTCCTACATAAATATAAGCACAGAAAGCTCTGATACGTATATTTGGAAATTACCAGTTTTAAGTAAAACCGAGTCCGCGTACCAAGAAGCAAGAATAACCCTGGACCTCAAAGTTTTAAACCCGAAACCCTACCCCTAAACCCTAAACAATTTCGGCTTTAGGAACCAGGGTTTAGATAGGGCTGAAACATTAAGGAGACACCCCGCAGGCACTGAAACATGATTATTCCTGAACAAGAACTGAAATAATAGGGTCTTCGTGTAAGGCTTTGGACAAGGCTTCAGCTTGAATGTTTAACAAATAGGTTTCACAGGAGAGGAGTTAGGCCTAAACATGAAGGATACACCCCGCAGACACCGAAGCAGGATTATTCCTAAACAATATACGTTGAAAGTATGGGAATAGGGTCTGGGCTTTAGAAAAAGTTCTTTAGGGAAAAGGGTCTGGGCTTTAGCGAATTGCCTTCAGTGGCGAGAGAAACGTTTTACAGTTTACAGGAATAGGAAGACTGAGTATTCCTAAACAATTTCCGTTGAAAGTATGGGAATGGGGTCTGGGTTTTAGTAAAATTTGTTTAGGGATTAGGGAATGCCTTTAGTGACGAGGGAGAACAAAAGATTCTGGACTAGGTGCCAGGCTATACCTTGAAGAAATAGGCTATGCTACCCCTAAAGAATATTCGTTGAATATGTGGGAATAGGGTCTGGGCTTTAGCGGATATCCAGCAGCGACTGAAATTCTAAAGTGTTGGAACAGGCCGTCAGCCTAAACCGTCAACGGTTAAGTGAAATCTCTCTAGCGGCGAGGGAAAATGTAAGGCTTTGGAATAGGTTTAAGCCTAAACCTTAAGTGTCTGTATCAAAACCTTAAACGAATAAACATAGGGAAGCTCTTTAATGTTTAGTGGAACTCTTGAAGGTTTCAGCATGTTTCAGCCAAGGGCTTGTTTGTCAGCTACTGGAACAACTTTGCGTACAAACGGCTTAACTTGGTGTTCAAATTATTTAGGATGCAAGCTTGGTGAATTTCTGCTGCGCGCGACCCGGAGAGGAGGGTCCAAATCCACTTCCTCACACAGCCCTTACCCTTGGGTTGAAAGGGACTTATTATATCGCAGCCTTCGGGGAAACACCGCGCCCCCTTACACTGTGCTTACGGTGGGTTCCGGGGGGGGGGGGGGGGTAGCGTATAAATATAAATATTAATAAATACATTAATAAATAATAGAAATAAATATAATACAACTATAAGTATAATATAATATAGATATACATATAAATATAAATATAAATATAAATATATATATATATATATATATATATATATATATATATATATATATATATATATATAATGTACTTCTTCTGCGTGCGCAGATATACATAAAGTCCAACATATATAGTATACTTCACAAGCTTGTATTGTGTGTATTCTTCTGCCTGTGCAACACAATATAGGGTATTATACATATATACATATATATGTGTATATAGGAGTGTTTTTTCTTGCGCTGTACGTTTTTTTTTCTTTTTCTCTCTGTGCCCCAGAAGCTGTTCCAAGCTCTTCTGCTCCACCTGTTTTCCTTATGCTGGAGGAAATAGAGGTTTGTCGATGAAAACTCAGAGGAAACATTCTTGAGGTCGTCGTTCCCAAACATAGAGGAACTACAGGCTTCGTATTGCAGTACAAGGTGAAAAGACGAATTCAAAAAGAAGATGTGGGAAATAGAGAGTTCTGTATGAACATAGACGGGAACTAGCTGGAATGCAGAGCAAAAGAGCAACACAGGAAGTCGCCGAATGCGCACGGTGCCAAGGCGAGAGCGACAGGGGCACGCAGAAACACCTAATCGAGCTAAAATCACAAAACCCTCCTCCGCAGAAGCATCCGTATTTAACTCCGCACCCATTCTTAGGCTACCATGCGTGTTGCAGCATTTTCGCATCCATCAGGCTCCGCAGGCAAGTACGCAAAGGGTGAGCTGGTTGAATATTACAGCGAGACCCATGGTGAGTGGTGCACGCCTCAGAGTCGCTTCTGCACATTGGACTGAGCTGGTGGTCGTTGTGCTGAAAGCTCGGCCAGCGAGGGTACCTACGAAGCTTTTAACTAAGTTCAGGGTCACAACAGACCTTTGGATTCTCCTTTCAGGCTTCCTGCCACCGTGACGGCGGCCAATGAAGACGGCCCGCTTCGCAGGACAATGTGCAGATGACTGCAAATGTTTGCAATTCACCTCAATGGACAGCCTTGCATGGTGCCACGGCATAGATAAATGGCTTCGTAATGCTTCGTAAACCCTCACACATTCTTCACTTTGCTCATGACATTCGTCGACTCGTCGATCTGCTCGGATGGGCGTTTGTGAGACATGAGCCGCGGCGTCCGACTGTCCAAGGTCGAGTGCAGCTGAATGTGAAGCCGGGTGTTTGGATCTCCCTGGAGGTAGCAGCCTGTCGAACGGTTTAAGACCGCGTGGCTGCTGCATGCTGCTTCCTTGGGAGAGCGGATCAGAAAGCTTGAAGAGAGCGCGGGAGGGAGAAGAATCATGAGAGTCCGATGAGTCCGTTGTTGAGCTCGGCGATCTTTCATCGCTGTCCGACTGCCAGATCCAGGGTGCCAAAGTGCGACCACGACAATCGGCACGGAGCCTGGGTATTTCTCCCTCTGAGGTTCCTTTCCTTGTCTCTTCTCTTCAGTTTCCTGCGTTTCAACCAAGGCTCAAGCCACGCCAGCCAGCGCAGCCAGTGGCAGAGAAAATTCTGTCGTGTTTGCGCAGTTCTCGCCTTCTTCATGCTTCTCCCTTCTTCCAGCTCAGGCCAATGGCAAGAACGGATCCCAGCCTGTGTTTTTGCGCATTCCGCACCCTCACTTTGAATGGATGCTGGACCTTTCGCAGTGACTTCAGGCCTCCGCCAGGTGGCAGCCCTGCCCATCGAGCTGCTGACAAGAGGAAACGTTGCAAACAATTGCAGAGAACGATGGCAGACAATTATAAGCAATTGCAAATTTCTACCAAGAGATACGTGAAAATCTGGCGCCTTGTGCCAGGGAAGGTGCGCTTCAGCGCCAACTCAGTCGAGATGCCCCGGTCGCGCACATAGTTGCGGGCACACCTTGCTGGGGCTCAAAGCCCGTCAAAGGCGTCCTGAACCTTGTAAGTCTGCTTTGCTCATCTTGGCTGCGGTTTCGTCACGAAGCCGGAGCGACTCCTCTCGACTTGCGTCGGCTTGCGTCGATTTGCGTCTGAGGCCAGGGGACCAGGCAGTAGCCCAGCCCGCAACCCGTCCGCCGAGCGACGGGGCCGGACGCCGCAGGGCCGGGTGCGACCCTCAGCGACCAAGAGACAACAGACGACGACAGTGGCCAGCGGATGTCAGCGGATGTCAGCAGCTGCAGCGGCCGGTGTTTCTTGAGCGCTGTCCGAGCCGCTGCGAGGCCGCAAGTCCGTTCAGCAATGCCGCCGGAATGCCATCTGCACGGGGAAACAGCCGAGGTCGAGGCCCCGCGCATGTTCGCAGGAAGATGCAAACAGGTAGAGTCAGGTAGAGGCAACACTCATGACAGCCAGGTTGAGCCGTGGGATGGCCTGGGCGGCGCGGGAACCCCACAGCCCTATGAAGAGTTGCACGACACGATGGCGCTACGTTGGAATTATTTGGAAGCATTTTGGGTTGAGAACCGCCCTGAGGCTGCCAAGATGATCCAAGATGACAAGATGACCCAGTTGTGAGAGTGATGTGAGAGGGATGTGAGAGCCATGTGGGACTGGTGTGAAAGGTACCGGCCGGTATGGGGATGTACGGAGTACGGTGAGAGGTAAGGTTTTGCTTTTCGACATGTATTTTCGAGTTTTGGTTTCGAGACACTCCATAATACCACTCCATCTTCAGAATCGTTTCACCCTTCTCAGAAGTCTCACCAGATACGAAGCACTTAGCCTCCATCCTCGAAGCACATCTCGAAGGCAGTCGCTTCGAAGGCCCTCCTCGAAGTGAGGAGTGCTCTGAGTGAAAAGACACACCTGCGACACACCTGCGACACACCTGTGAGTCGAGTGACTCGCTCGTAGGCTGGATGATAGGCTACAGGCACTCTATGGCACTCTACATCGTGACTTCTTCGCAGTGCCAACCAGTGCATCAGCGATTGCAGAGCGTTCAGGACCTTCCTCTGCCTGGAAGCAGCGGCTCCGAAACATCTCAGTGGCCCCTCAGGCAGCAGGCGCCTGGCAGAGGCCTGCGGGAAAAGTTCTTGCGGCGTGAAGAAAGCGAGAAAGCGCGGAGGTGCATGGGCTCCGCCAGACACAACGGCCACGACAGCCATACGCGGCAAATCAAAGACCAGCTTTCAAGGCCCTTGATACCATGATTTCACCGGATGCGTCAGCCCAACTTGCAGGCCCAATTTCAGGAGGCCTTCTGGAGCCCAACTTGAGACTGCAGGCCACTCTTGGGGGCCCGTGAGATCAGATGCCTTCAAGAGAGGAGGGGAAGGGGGCCCCCCCAGAAGAAGGCCACAAGAAGGCTCACCCCCCTCCACATGGGCGCTCAGCGTCTGTGAGCTCTTTTTGTGCGAGTTGCGTCCTCCGCCTCCGAGTCCCCCCATCCAGGCAAGCCCCCCGCTAGGCGAGTGGCGCTAGTGTGCCTTCCCTGATTTTTCTGAAAAAAGTGTGAGAGACATCGTCTCAAGACCTGGGATGCACCATTCTTTCGTCCCTGTGCATGGCCGAGTCGACCTCGCGCGAATACTGTATATCATCGGCAAAATGGATAGTAATCTCGATGCCGTTTTGCGTATCCTGGCAGCCCCATATCATTGACATTCAAAACCCCGATGCAGCCAGACAAACCTTGCCTCCCGCGCGCACTCCTTGATCTGCTCGCAGCCTGCAGCCTGAGGTGTAGTATGGTGTAGTGTCATTTTGGGTTCCAAGTTGGTAGCTCGTAGCTGTGATGCTAACTGAAGTTTAGTTGATTCTGGAGATCAGCCTGTCTTTCCTTTGGGCTTTCCATTCGGGCAGCTTGCTGCACCATGGATGTCTTTTTAGTTTAGCATCGGCGGGATGCACGGCTTGATTCACACCGCGTCGCCCTCAGCTCTCTTCGCCGCCATTTTCGGCCTTTGCAGGGTTAACAATAGCAAGCTTGGTTAAACGTGGGCTCACGTTGGCTCACGTTGGCTCACGTTGGCTCACGTTGGCTCAGTTTTTTGTGCAGCTTACCGAGGTCTGGAAAGAGTTCATCGAAGAGAAGTATGGTCCCAGTGTGTGGACACAGGCCACATCCTGAATTTGAAGGGTCCACGAAGTGATGCTTCTACTTGGTGAGTGCTTTGGTTATTCTGTGCAGGCTCTACAAGCTTGCGGTGTGGACGAGACCGAGTTCCTCCAGTTCAAGCAGCATGAGGCCGCACCAGCGCAACATTGGCATATGCGTCCCCCTGCGCCTCCACCTTCTGAGAGAGCATCCTCTGAACTCTCGAAAAGTTCTCTCAGTTCTCTCGAAAAGATCTGACAGGACAAGCTGACCCATCAAGTCATGTCGGCAAGCATGGGCGTGGCCTCAATCAGCCTGGAGTCCAGCTCCTTGGCCCAGATGGCACGACGGCACGACAGTGTGCGCAGAAGCAAAAGGTATGCACAGTGTGCGCTCGAGAGGTATTCAGAGAGCACAGAGAGCATACCCTTCTTAGCATGCACCCTAAACAGCATGCCCCTTTGAGGCCTTGAACTCTTCGGGGCCTTCTTTGTGCAGTTCATGGTCCGGCAAGGCCCGGGTGCTGCACAAAACATGTGGCTAAGCGGGAGGCCCGAGAGTATTGGAATAAATCATCAAAGGAGTAAACGGATCGAGTAAACGATCCTGACTCGTATGGGGATGCAGTGGCATTGCGCTGTGATTTCTCCACGTGCTAAGCTGCGCAGTGCAGGAATGACTGGGCGGCCAGGGAAATGACAATGCAGAGGGTGCTTGTGGTGTAGCGTAATCGTAGCCAACCATGCCAAACCTCGAAAATTCATGAAACCGCCCTTCGTTTTCTCCTTGCCATCGCCTTGCACAAAAAGCCAACAGGCTCAGGTCACCTGGAGAATGATGACACTAGATCAGCATGACTGCCAGTACAGGGAGCCTGAGTGACAGGAAGAGAACGCTGTAACGACCCTCCAAAGATAATATCGTTTTGCTTATGCTTTCTGCACGGGGCTTCTTTTGAAAAGATGCTGTGCGTGGGATCTTGAGAACCGCGTCTGGGTTGGTGACGTCAACAACCTTTAACCGCAAGTGCACATCGACATAGCGTAGACACGTGTAGACTGATTGTACACGCTTGCGCCGCTTGCACGCCTCAGCAGCTGTATGCATCGCCAACAAAGGAAAGCCAACGAAAATTTGAAGGGTCTCCGTGTGACCGAATAGGGTTGGAGGGGGTGTCCCCTGGCAAAGGGGCATCGGCTGCCCCAAGCGGTCGGGAAGGTTTCACAGGGTACAGCAGATTTCTGGTGGGGGAAGGGTTGGGAAGGTTCGAACTTCGAAGGAGACCACATCCTGCTTGTTCTAGACGCCTCTCGGCCAGAAGCCGAAGGGAATATGTAGACGAATGGAAGAAGTGTAGAAGTCGTGCAGGCTGGACGCAGTGGTTGCAAGCTATGGGAAGCTCTCTCGAGGAGCCGCGAGCTGCTTTCAGAGAGAGCGAGAGAGAGAGCGAGAGAGAGAGCGCACGCGCGCGGGGGCTTTCGGGCCCGTAAGCCCAGCAGCAGAAGAAGAAGAAGAAGAAGAAGAAGAAGAAGAAGAAGAAGAAGAAGAAGAAGAAAAAGAAGAAGAAGAAGAAGAGGAAGGAGAAGAAGAAGAAGAAGCAGAGGAGAGAGCCAAATTTTCAAAAAGAGAGCGCGCCCCCTTCACTCAAAGCTTGGAGTCGGCCAAGAGGCACAAAGACCATTGGTTACAGACTTGAAGGTTTCAAGGATGGGTTTACTTCGAGGATGCAATAAGTTGTGACCATTGCACTTGTTGAGAGATTATGGACAGCAGTCGTGGCGCCAGCGTTCGCTCGAGGAGTTCGTGCAGAACCTGAATGACATGCACCATGTTGCCAACTCAGGTGTCTTTTGTTTGTGGCGAGCTTGTAGAGGGAAATGTTGCATTGACTCTTTCATCGCTTGAATCTTGCTTGAGGTCCTCGAGCGTGATTTTCGCTCAGCTTTCTTTCCTATCTTTACTTCTTCTCGCGGGCGCCTCACCTTGGTCACCCTTGGTCCTTGCTAGACCTCCTGAGCAAAATGTCTCGCAGGCTCTGACGAAGGGGACTTCCTCTTGACATACAGTCCATCGCTCAGCATTGAGGCCCTGCGAGTTGTGCTTGTTCAGCATGCTAGATTTTTCTTTGAGGCTCCTCTAGATTCGTCCCGAGTCTGACGAAAGGCGCCCAGGAGGCATTCAGTCTTCTGTCAACCCAGATTGTGAGAGTGAGCACGTTCACTCATAGCCTTTTGGCAGCAACCTCTGCATGCAATAAGGTGTCCTCGGGGAGGTTGCAGCGGTCCTGTTTAACGTCCGAGCCTTGCGAAAGCGGGAATGAGTGGGAATGGATCTGGTGTTGATTTGTACAATTAAAGTATAACTGCGGTGGATTCCATTGGGCAAGAAAGCACCTTGGGAAACTTTTGCAGAGAACGTGGCGACAGCAGTCAATGCGAACATTTCTACGTGTTTGCAAAGCCGTCCACAAGATTCGCCAGGAGTACATGCAAGAGCTTTGTTCACGAAAGTATGGCAGCACCAGCCCAGCACCACTGCGTGCTTTTTTTGGATGCTGTCTTGCATCCATTCTCGAAGTATTTGCCAGAACGGCTATCAAGCGCTGCCCCATTCCCGGCCAACAGCTGATGCTACCACTGCCGCGGCTTTGTTACCAGCCGCGTATGTTGACCGGGTCAGGCCTTGCCCAGGTCAAGCCTTGCAAAAAGACTCGGCAGCAAACTACATCCCCAGCACCCGTCTCTGCACTTTGCCACGAGGAAAGTCAGGTCAAGTTCGAAGAGCCCAAGAGGGTTGAACACGTTCGCACATTCATTCATGGGCACGCATACAGTAATGTCGCAGCTGTACAATGCAAAACTACGGCAGTGTGCTCTGCAGAGTATATAGCGGAGGCAGAGGCAGCTCTGGAGGATCGAGCATGATCCAAACATGTTGAGCCAGGTCCGTGTTGACTTGGTTAAGATCGGCCGAATTCCCAGCGTCTGTTGCGGTCAATTTGGGCTGTGTGCATATCAATGTCGTGTTGTCAATGTGTGCGCCCTGTGCTGATTGGCTTTAGATACTCTAGATGACTTTCTGTGAGGTGGCGATGGAAAGACCGAAATTACTTGGAAGGCCTCCGGCCAAAAATAGCCTTCACGTAGAAGGAGTCTGAGAAGGGAGCCTCCTCTTATGCCACGATCTGAGAGGTCCTGCAAAGCCCTCTCAGCCGAGGCCTCACATGGCCTCAACATGGCCTCAACATGGCCTCACATGGCCTCACTCTCGCACTACCTTTACAACTACTTTACAATGCTTCGAGCCGAGGCCCATCGC